GCCTTAAGATGTGGCCCCAGAATTGCTCAGAGCCAGCAGCTGGGGTCCTGAGAGTGGGCCTCACTCTTGGGCCTTGACTAAGCGCCTTACTTCCTTACCCTGCTGCCACTGCCTCAGCCCTCCAGGGTCTGCATCACCTTGCTAGGGGCCCAGGACTTCTACTCCCTTATCCGGGGCAGTTTCCTCCTGCTCATCTCCCCTTCAGCAGGGCCCAGGGCTTGGGGAATCTTCATTTAGCAGTGGTCCAGCTTGGAAAACCATAGAGTTTATCAAATGAGAGAGCAACAATACAGAGCTGAAAAGTGGGGGCCAGCAGGGAGAGAGAGAGTGACTTGCCCACTACGCCTGCCCTCATCTCGTGCCATCAACAATTTCAGCCAGTCATATGGCTACACATGTCTTGAGGAAAGCTTGGCTTTCCTCTCCTGGATGCATGCTGTGACTTCCTCTTTAGTCCACCAGCGCCCACTTTGTCCTTCTCCAATCTGTATTCAGTACTGCAGCCAGAGGGATCTTTTCAAAACAGGTATCGGATCATATCATGGTCTCCTGCCTAAAGATACCTAATGGCCTTTCATTATGGCCTACGGACCCCATTGTCTGGCCCCTGCATCTCACTTCAGGCTCATTTCTCACAGAGTTGCCCCTAGTTGTGTGCTGGAGCCGGCTCCTACCAGCTCACAGAGCCATTTGGTAAATAGTCAGGAATTTGTTAGTAGCTGGAAATTGATGGAGGTGTCAATTTGTCTACACTAGAGAAATCAACAAATGCTAAACATTAATATTTTTTCTCCCAAGGAGCTGGCTGACCAGCACACTGCTTCCTAATGTCCACTGTGCATTTCCACCCCAGGGTCCTTTCACTGCCTGGAACACTCTTTCTTCTTTTTTTGCTGAGTTAACTTTACTCTTTTAGACCTCAGTCCAATTGCTACTTCCTCTGGGAAGCCTTCCTTGGTGTCTTGGAACAAATCAAATCCCAACCCTGAACCTGACCTTCTTGGCTTGTATCACAGTTGTAATTTCCCATATGTTTTTGTGATGAATGATTATTGTCCATCTTCTCCAGGGGAATGTAAACTCCATGGTGAGAGGGACCATGCCTGGTTTTGCTTATCATCTTTACTCCAGCACCCAGAACAGTACTTAGTACATGGTAGAAACTAAAAAAATTTGTTGAACTAATGAATGAGTTAGCGAAATGTGTAACAGACAAGAAGTCCTCAGTTTTGGCTTCTGTGGCAGAGACGACTCTTAGTCATGTTTCTCCTTTTAATTTTCCCATCTCTTTTATTAGATTTGTCATGTTACCGTATTCTGATCAATGCAATGGGATCAAAACTATGTACTGTGTTTCCTGTCATGGCCTCTGAAATGTCACAAGTGGTCTTCAACGCACTCTGCATGGTTGGAAGTAGAGGAGTCACAAGACAGAAAAAGCTCAGATTCCTGAGCCACCGATTGGAGATGGGCTGCCCATGTGAGTCACGTGAACTTCCTTAAATTGTGGTCGGAGCAAGATGTACTTTTATTGAGTTAATTCCTCAATATTTTTTGAGATTACTTGTTACTGCAGCAGATCCTAATCTACACTGACCTACAAGACCTTCCCAGCTCTGCCATTCAGTCCTTCTACCCTTTAGCAAGCCACAATCTCTCTGGGCCTCAGTTTCCCTATTGGTAAAATGAATGAAAGGATTCCAAAAGGCGATCTCTGAAATCCTTCCAATGTTAAAATTTAGCTGTTCTGCTTGTATAGTTTCCTCCCTCCTGCCTAGCACGATATGCAGTTACCATAAATGTTTGCTAAATAAGAGAACCTTTTATTTTTGAAACACTTTCTCTTACATAAAAGCATTTCAATACCTTAGAAATTCAGAGTCATTACTCATATTATTTAATCATCCAACAAGTAAAATATCGATCAAAATAACAGCGGTGACATCTTATCAAAGAGGCTGGGGAAGCTTCAGAGATCTTCAGCCTTCCAGAAGCTCCCCCAGGCTGCCTGTTCTCTCTGTCCTTGGCAGTCTGGTGGCCCCAGCATTTCCAATTATTTACAAGCCGCATCCTTAGGCTGTCTCAATTGTTCCACTCAGCTGACTCTGTCAACTGCCTTTCTCAATAGAGATGATCTCATTTTTCAAAGGAACCCACTAATGCCTTTTCTTAGAGAGTTGTCATTAAAGGCTGCTGCCTGGGTATCAGTAACCAAGAAGCAAAAGTTGCATCTTTGATGAGATGTAGCCAAGGTGACCCAGAGTCCTGATGACTTAACTGGGTTTCAAATCTCCTGAGGTCTAACCTAGCCTTGCGTTGGTTCAAAGTGTGTGAAAGAGATGAAAGGCAAGCTGCTCTTCTTGGGCTGGGGTCCCTCTCCCTGTTAAAGATGAAAGGCACCGCAGCTGCTGTCATCCCAGTAACCATAGTAACAGTGGACCACATGGCAGGTGTCTGATCCTCATTAGACAATGTCTGATATTAAGTGTTCTTCATCCTTCCCCTCACTGCTACCCTGGATCCTGCTACATGGCATTGAGGTCTCCCAGGGGAGCAGCTCAGGCATGGGAGATCTGGACTGACAGCATTAATTAAACCTCTTATTTCCCCAGAACATTTTGCATTGCCAGACCCGGGAGCCAAGAAAACCTCCCAGGGAAGCTCTTATGAGAGAGAATGTCTACCACCAGGGACAGAGGCGCTTCGACTCCACAGTTGGCAGCCAATGGGGCTCAGGAGGAAAATACGCCTGGCATACACCAGACGCAAAATAAATACTTGTGGAAGAGTCAGTTTAAGTAAACGGGGCTCATTTAGCAAATGGGATTCCTTCCAGCTCACTGGAAGCCCTGCACAAAATGATCATGTAAGTCATTCACCCTTTCAGCAGTGGCTGGGTGCCTGTTGTACTCACCCATGGGTGGCTCTTAAGGTACTAGCTTGCTGAATGAATCCCAGCCCCTGGGCATGGCTGGGGCTGGAGGGCATGTTGGGGAGTGTGCAGAGGTGAGTCTGAAAGGATCAGCAGGGATCACGTCACAGTGAGCTTTGGATCTAACTGGAAGCTCTTGGGTTTATTGCTGGAGAATCTCTAAAGGCTTTTCGCATGTGACAGTGTCAGCTTTGCATGTCAGAAACACCCTTTTCAGATGTCCTGTAGGGAAAGGATTAGAGAGACACTACTGCTTTTACCAAAGAAACGATATTCTAGAACATCGGAATCCAGGCCTCAAGAGAGCTGGCAGCTCCTGTTTCCTTCCTCTTGGAACCTGACTGCCATGTTGTGAGAAGCTCCAGCCACATGGCAGACAACCAAGGCGCACTGGTTGGCAGAGCAGTTGTGCTCCCGATGGCAGCTAGCACCAACTGCTCACCATGTGGCACGCCATCTTGGACAGTCCAGCCCAGCTAACCGCAGTCCCAGAAGACATCAGCCACTCTGCAGTCCCAGCCACTCCCAGGGACTGTGGATTCACCCAGCAAGCTAGTACCTTTAGAGCCACCCATGGGTGCATACGTACAGCAGGCACTCAGTAACTGCTGCAAACCATCTGGTTGAGCCCAGTTAACCCACAAAATCATGAGAAGTAACAAAACACAGTTCACCCTTGAACAACGTGGGTTTGAACTGCACACGTCCACTTATACACAGCGCTTTTCCAATAAATACTGTAAATGTATTTTCTCATGATTTTCTTAGTAGCCTTTTCCTTTCTCTAGCTCCCTTTATTGTAAGAATACAGTATAGAATACAAATAACATACAAAATGTATGTTAATTGATTATCGGTAAAATTTTTGATCAATAGTAGGCAATTAGTAGTTAAGGTTTGGGGGAATTATATGAGGATTTTCAACTGTATGGGGGTCGGCACCCCTAATCCTGATGGTGGCTTATTAGGCAGGGGTGGTAACTGAAACATGGGAGGTACTGGGTGGTGGTCACATCTGCAGCTGGGCAGGAAAGGTCTGGCTGGGGCAGTTTTAGACTTGGGAGTCATCAGCTTCATGAGAAATTGAAAGACGTGGATGGAATCACCTACACCCCTTCTCACAAGTGCCCAGCAGCCCTACAGCACAGCCGGCTCGCAGCAAACGCTTGCTGAATTAAATACTCCACATAATGAAAAACACCAAAACTTTCCGTTGTCTGATCTAAGACCATACTCCTCATGCCTGGAATTCTAATTTCCCCTCCCTCTAGCATACTTCTTTTATTTTTTTCCCACTCTCAAAATCAAAGTGTGGACCTCTGGCTGCTGCATTTGAAACTCTTTGTCCTTTTAAGACAAGTCCTTTCTCTGAGTGTGAGGTGTGGACATGGAATCTGCAAACCTGAGTTTGGATTCAGAATGACTGGATTTTTCTAGCCGTCCCACGTCTCCACTGAATCTCAGCTTCCTCACCAGTAAATGGACATGAGAATTCCCGCAGATCAAAATAGGTGGTAAAGGTGAATGACCCGGTGGACGCTAAAAGAGATGCAGGTATAAAACAGAACCATTGCAATCATCGTCACCAGGATGTGGGTATGGTGCCAACCCCTGACACCCCATCAGCTCCCTCTCACCTGCCACCTGCCTCTCCCTGGTAGTGAACACCTGTCATGTTCAGGAGACGGGACATCTCCAGCTTTGTGTGTCTGTACCAAACACTCCCGGAGGATCCAATGTTATAGACTCCTGGGCCAGAGAGGGTGAACGAAGGGTTAGTAGTCTGGTAAAATGACCCTTACCCAGCCGGAGGCACAGGCTTGGGTTCAAGCCCTGGTTTGCCCTCTAATGCAGTGTGACCTGCCCTTCTTGGGCACAAGTGTCTTCCTACATAAAGCGTGAAGAAGGGCCTGAGACAACCCTAAGGTTCCTGCCACCTGAAAAGCTCTGGCTCCTATTGGGTTGGGGGGTCTGGTCACGTGTTGACGCGGAGGGGTGCTCGTTGACGTGGTACTGCGGGTGCACCAGCCAGCTTGGGTCCGGCCCCCTCCTCTGACGTCCCCACAGCCGCCCTCCCGCCCCGCCCCTCCGGCGGCGGGAGAGCTGCTGGCGCGCTCGGAGCTCGGAGCTGCCAGGCGGCGGGCGGCGGGCAGGGCGGGGTAGGTGTGCTGCGGCGGGACTGAGCCCCGCGCGGGGAGCAGGCACCATGGTGCTGTCCGTGCCCGTGATCGCGCTGGGCGCCACGCTGGGCACGGCCACCAGCATCCTCGCGCTGTGCGGGGTCACCTGCCTGTGCCGGCACATGCACCCCAAGAAGGGGCTGCTGCAGCGGGACCGGGACCCCGACCCGGAGAAGGCAAGACCTGGCGTGCTCCGGCCAGCCCAACAGGTGAGCGGGGCGGCGCCCTCGGCTTCCGGGAGAGAGGTGGTGTCTCCCCCGCAGCGGCCGAGGGGGAACAGGGAGTGCGGGGAGCCGTCGCGGTTCTTCTTGGCGAGACAGAGCATGGCGGGGAGCGGGGACAGCGGACGTGCTCCGGGACCCGCGGAGGGGTCCGGGAAGCGGGGGTGGGGGTCTTTAATTAGTCAGTGGGAGACTTGGGGGACGAGAAAGGAAAGAGGACAGCGAGGGCTAAGAGGGAGGGGATGGAAGGGAATGGGAAAGGGGACTGGGATGGGAATTAGAGCTGGGGGGCGGGGACTGGGAGGAATGAGAGGAGAGGGGAGCTGGGGGGCGGGGAGAACGTGCATCAGGCACTCAGAGGGGAATATGGGAGGGGGCTGTGAGGAGACTGGGGAAGGCTGAGAGGACCCGGACTCATGTGGAGAATGAGAAGCTTGCAGAATTGGGGTGAAGAGGGAGGGGACTGTGAATGAGAAGAGAAGGTGGGGGAAGAGGTCATTATGGACTGGTGTAGGGACAGCACTGACACAGCTGAGAAGGGGGAGATCCACCAAAACCCCAGAGGGCTGGAGCTGCTGTCCTCGTTGGAGCTGGACAGGGAGTGTCTGGTGTCTGGAGAGGCAGGTGAATATGGAGGGCCTGAGGATCCTGGCCCTCTCCCAGCAGCCCTCAGCTCCAGCCAGCCAGAGGGGCTTGCTGTGGCCTCTCCCAAGATGTCCCTGCAGATGTCCCTCAAGACAGGAAGGCTTTTATCCCATGCACTGGCTTGTCCCCAGAGCCCCTTTGGGTAGGAAACGGGTGGTGCCCCATTGTACAGTGCAGTAGAAGGGGTCTGGGAAGAGGTTTGGAAGGACCTCCCTACATAGGCTGTGAACAGTCCCGAGGTGGGAAGAGCAAAATGTCCTCTGGAGAACCGGAGAGAAAGAGTCTGGCTAGAGTGTTTGATGAAGGCTGGCCTTGGGCAGGGGCATGACTTCACGGCTTCCAAAGCCCCCCTGGACTCCTGATAAGAGCTTATAGTCCCGAGAGTGGCACTAAAATGCTGTGATCCCACCTTCCTTTTTCCAATCAATTATTCAAAAACTCTGAGACCCAGTTGTGTGGGGCCTGTGTCAGTCACTGCATGGTGTGAGTGGAAGGAAATGGCTGCTGTCCTTGAGGCACTTAGAATCCAAGAAAAGTGACATTGACGCTGGCTGCAATAGGAACCAGCGGGGCAGCGGATGTGGAAACTGGAATCGCCTGGAAATGGGAGTAGTGGGCTCCCCAGTGACAAAGAGTCGGATGAGCCCTTCTCTAGAAGTGGTGGCCTGCTGCCTCCCACTTCTCTCCAGCCCAGTGCGCTTGAGGGCCAGCCCTTCTGCCTTTCACAGGCACCATCCCCTCCCCTTTTCAGAGAGAGCCCCTGGGGAAGGTGTTAATGTGAATGCCTCTGGGATCTCTTCCAGCTCTGTCTTATTGACAACCAGTAAGTAGCCCATACAATGCCTAATAATCTGTTAAGCCCTACAGACTGTGCCTCTCCCCAGCTTAAAATCCTCCACAACTTTCTCATTGAGCAACGAACAAATATAACAAACCTTTACATGGCACGTAAGGCACCAGGCACCATTCTAAGTGCATTACACTTAATGCGTTCAGCAACTCAATGAAGATCATGTATGGTGATCCCAACTTAAAGATGAAGACGCTAAGGTTCAGAGAGGGTAAGTGACTTCCCCAAGGTCACACAGCTAGAGAAGTTTTAGAACCAGATTCTAGACAAGCTGATCTGATTCTGGAGTCTGTGCTATTAGCCATTCCATTCTACTCCCCCATCTGCTTGATCTGGCAGCTGTCTACCTCTCCAACTAAACGCGTGCCAGTTCCTCCTTTCATTGGCAGTCTCAGCCTCCCTGGGTTTATGATCCTTCTTAAAGACACCAACCCTTCCAGTTTTCCTCCTGCTTTTCACACAGATGGCTCCTTCTTATCCTTTAAGTCTCTTTCTGTTTAAATTCACCTCCTTGGGGAGGATTTTACCTATTGCCACATGTTAGCAAAGCACCCCTCCCCCATATGTTTCTTCCAAATTCTTTTATAGCAGTTGTGAAAAGTGGATGTGATCGGTCTTATCTGCTTTCTTGTATATTTATTTCCAGCACCCACTCAGTACCTGGAAACTAATAGGTGCCCAATAGGAAACTGTTGACCAATAAAGGCATCCCTGTGTCCAGCCCTGTGGCATTACTGTCTGAGTGATGTCTTCACAGGTGCATGCATGCACCAGGCCTTTGCAACCCAGTGCTAGCTCAGCAGGGCTCAGGAAATGTTTGCGGATCCATGAGACTTGTCCATCCACATTCCCTCACCCAGTTCCCTGGGTGACAAGGATTTGAGCAGCCTGGGGCTGAATCTACAGGCCTGAATGTGCTGAGGCTGAGATGTCAGTGTTGGCTTGGCTGCCATTGTGCTCAGACTGAGTTAGCCATGACCCAGATAGAGTAAGCAGAGAAAAGACAACACAACTGACATTTCAAAGAAAGTAAAGGAGGTGGTATTAGGGGTGACAGGTGACAGCAGGATGGTGGACATGGCGAGTGTTGACGAGGAGGGAAAAGAGCCAGGGAAAGCTCTCTGAAGATGTTCTTTGAAGAGAGGGCATGAGGGCTGGGGAACAGGGTTCTAGATTCCTGGAGCCACTGAGAACTGGGATGTCTGCAGGATACAGACTGACTACCTGTGTCTCCGAAAGTCACTGGTTGTGGTTGCTGGAAAATTCCCTTGGATTTGCATGCCTGGGAATCTGATTTCTGGCCCCAAATATTTGGATGAAGTTGAAGTTTGTAGTGATTTTGAAAAGAATTTTGAGGTTTTTCCCAGGGGTTCTTAACCTGAGGTCCATAGACCCACCTCCCCCACCCCTTCCACCCCTGCCCAAGGGGTCTATAGATAGAATTTAAAGCGTTCACCGTCTTGGAGAGAAAAAACTTAACGTCACTATTTTCACTCACTTCTAACTGAAACTTATCATTTCCTGTGAGTAAGAATATAAACAACACACCATTATATTAACAATATCGGTGACTTTGTCCCCGAGGGAAATCACAGATAGTTTCAGAGCACACTGCAGCTGCTCCACAGACCTCACAGTATCATTTATGCTTATCTCTAATTCTAAATCATGCCTCTTATTAAGTCTCCCTGCTAGATCCTGCTATTTAATGAATGAATAAGGAGGCACACATACAGCTATTTCACAGGTTGATTCTCTTAGACGTTCCATTGTAGTCTTATGTCGTTTATTTTCCACTTTTCAAACATTTGAAGGAAGTGTCCATAGGATTCTCCAGGCAGCTAAAGGAATCCATGGAATAAAACAGGTCCAGAATCTGCTAAGTGGAAGGTGGTAGAGGGTGGAAGCCCTCAGTCATCCATCACCTTTCATGCCTCCAGCCATCTTTAATTCCTAGTTGTTTGCTTTTCTGAAATACACACCCTGGACCCTTTATTCTGCCTCCTTAGAACCCTCACCCACGTGCAGTCTGTTGGGGACACAAGGAATTCAGTCTCACTACGACACCCACTCATGGTCTGGCTGTTTTCAGCCAACTTTTTTTTTTAAAGATTTTTATTGGGGAATCAGGGGAGAAGAACAGACAAGTTGCTGTCCTTTTGTTCTTCAGTCTAGTTGTGGAGGGCGTCGCTTCACTGGCCCATGTTGGTATTATCATTGTGCTCTTTCTGGGTGAGACAGTCGCTCGCCTGCCGTTGGACGGCTGCCCGCCACAGCTTTCGGCAGCTCAGCCGGCTGTCAGTCACTCACGCCCGCTGCCAGGCACTCACGGTAGCTCACGGCAGCCCACTGCAGCAGGGGCTGCAGCCTACGCCGTCGCCAGCGACTCACAGCAGCCCAGCTCCAGGTCGAGTTGTTGTTCACCATCTTAGCTGTGGAGGATGCAGCGTCACTGGCCCACATGTGGGATCCGAACCAGGGCCCTGCTTCTCGGAGCTGGCATCCCAAGCCAACTCTTAACCAACGCACCACTCGGCCGGCCCTCCGCTCAACCTTTGAAGCTTGGTTATTATGCAGTGACCAGGCTGCTTGAGCAAGAGAACAGAATGATGCGTGTGTGACCATCCTCCCTTCACTGCTGCTCTGGATCTGTTAGCGAGAGGCAGCCAGACCTATTGGTTCCTTCCCCTGAATTTCCTTGTCTGCATTCACCCCATTTCTGGGTCTTTGCAGAGAAGACCCTCTTTTTGGCTAGCCTAAATCACTAAAGAGTGAGCAGGGAGAACTGCCCTTTTCCCATCGCTCATTACCCCTGACACCCAACACATAGCAGGAGTTGGGGTCCTGTGTTCAGAAAACTTTCGTTTCAGCATCTGATTTTTCTCCCCACAAGGTATGTACCTCAGTGTACCCTTAAGTAAATTTTCTCAGCTGTGTCTCAGAGGTCCCCAGGTGCTGTCACCTTGAAGCTAACATAGGGTCAAAGGCTTTCTTAAAGTTGCTTGTCCCCTCAGCAGTAGTTACTATGCCTCGTCTATCCACCTCACTAGCCTCCATTTCCACCTACTAACGGATTATAAAATCCTACCCTCCTTCTTGCAGAGTTGAGGAGACCCAAGTGGCTTTCAGTGGAACACTGTCTTAGTCCGTTTGGGCTGCTATAACAAAATCGCACACACTGGGTAGCTTATACACAACAGAAAATAGTTTCTCACAGTGCTGGAGGCTGGAAGTTCCAAGGTCAAGGCTCCAGCAGATTCAATGTCTAGCGAGGGCCCCTTTCACTTTACTTCACATGGTGGAAGGGGCAAGGGATCCCTCTTGGGCTGCTTTTATGAGGGCGCTAATCCCATTTATGAGGGCCCCATCCTCATGACCTAATCACCCTCCAAAGATCCTACCTCCCGATACCATCACACTGGAGGTTAGGTTTCCATATATGAACTTTGAGGGCAGGGGACACACAGCATTCAGATGGTAGCAAACACTAATA